TCTGGGTTAAGGTCTGAGTAGATGAGGTGAGGAAGAGGGGCTTTGTGCCGTGTACTGTGGCAGTTCTTGTCCTGGAGACTTATCCCCTTGAGCCTAGGCTTTATTCTTTGTTGTTTGTTTTGGGGAGTTGGGAGTAATTTATTTTTTCTTCAATTCCTAGTGATCATCATATCTTAAACAGAAAAGAGAGCTGTCCAGACAAGTGAGAGAATAAACATGAAGTACTTGGAATACCATGTAAGCTGTGTAAAGTTAAATTTCTTTTCTTTTTTTTTAATTATTGATCTTTTTTTATTATTAAATCTTTATTGTTCAGATTACATTTGTTCCTCTTTTTTCCCCCCCATAACTCCCCTCCTCCCAGTTCCCACCCCACCCTCCGCCCTCACTCCCCACCCACTGTCCTCATCCATAGGTGCACGATTTTTGTCCAGTCTCCTCCCGCATCTCCCATTCCCCTTTCCCCCCCAAGAATAGTCAGTCCATTCCCTTTCTATGTCCCTGATTCGTTATAATCACCCGTTCATTCTGTACATCATATTATTTATTCACTTGATTCTTAGATTCACTTGTTGATAGATGCATGTTTGTTGTTCACAATTTGTATCTTTACCTTTTTCTTCTTCCTCTTCTTAAAGGATACCGTTCAGCATTTCGTATAATACTGGTTTAGTGGTGATGAACTCCTTTAGCTTTTCCTTATCTGTGAAGCTCTTTATCTGACCTTCAATTCTGAATGATAGCTTTGCTGGATAAAGTAATCTTGGTTGTAGGTTCTTGGTATTCATCACTTTGAATATTTCTTGCCATTCCCTTCTGGCCTGCAGTTTCTGTTGAGAAATCAGCTGACAGTCGTATGGGTATTCCCTTGTAGGTAATTGAGTCTCTTTCTCTTGCTGCTTTTAAGATTCTCTCTTTGTCTTTTGCTCTTGGCATTTTAATTATGATGTGTCTTGGTGTGGTCCTCTTTGGATTCCTTTTGTTTGGGGTTCTCTGCGCTTCTTGGACCTGTAAGTCCATTTCTTTCACCAGGTGGGGGAAGTTTTCTGCCATTATTTCTTCAAATAGGTTTTCAATATCTTGCTGTCTCTCATCTTCTGGCACCCCTATAATTCTGATATTGGTGCGCTTGAAGCTGTCCCAGAGGCTCCTTACACTATCTTCGTATTTTCGGATTCTTTTTTCATTTTGCTTTTCCGGTTGGGTGTTTTTTGCTTCTTCGCATTTCAAATCTTTGACTTGATTCTTGCGCTCCTCTGGTCTGCTATTGGGTGTCTGTATAATATTCTTTATTTCAGTCCGTGTATGCTTAATTTCTAGTTGGTTCTTTATCATAGCATCGAGGGTCTTATTAGTTTTCGTGAGGCTCTCATCAAGTTTATTGGCAGCTTCTAGCACATTATTGCAAGCCCTCAAAATTGCATTTTTTAGCTCTATATCCTCCATTTCTGTCATTTTTTTTGTCTCCGCATTTTTTATGCTTTCTTGGTGCACCCCCTTGTGGTCTTTGTGCGCAGTCTTGTTCTAGTTAAGCCTTGATTGTTGTAGTTAATACTAGAGGGATTTGACCACCAGGCTGACTGGCTGTGAGAATCAGCTGTGTCTGCCGCGGGAAAACTTCTGTCCTCTGGAGAGGTGCTAATCTAGCCTTTGCCTGAGGCGATCCGGCAAATGGCTCTGCGCAGGGCTTGGGCGGGGCGGGATCAACAGGGCGGGCAGAGGGAGCAGTTATGGCTGCTCTCAGTCCCGTTCCCAGAGGCTCTGCTTCTCAGAACCCCAGCAACTGCTGCAAACCTCGGAGAGAAAGCTGCCCTCATGTTCCAACTGATGCCAGACAATCCCGCCTCTCCCGTTTGAGTCTGAGTCCCTAGAGACTCGCCCGGATCTGGAGCTCAGAGTCTGAGACTCCCTCCTGATTGAAAACGACAACCGCGCCCTCAGCCACCAGCCTGCTTTGCGCGCGCACCTCGGTACCTTTGTATTTTCCACACTGTGCCTCCTCTGGGCCTCGGTATGCTCTTGTCTTTCCTTCTAGTTGAAGAGTCTCTCCTCAGCCAGCCTTCCTGTGGTTCTGGGTGATGTCCGTTCCGTCTTTTAGTTGTATTTTTGAAGTGGTTGTTTGCGGCAGCAATCTCAGGTGTTTACCTATGCCGCCATCTTGGTCTCTCTCCTATTATTTGTAAAGTTAAATTTCTTGGTGCCAGTCCAAGCACTTGACAATTTAACCTCATAATAGATTAGACAGTTATATAATCATCCCCATTTCTCAGCTAAAGGAACGGAGACGTAAGGAGGTTAAATAATTTGATAGTAAGTGATAGAGCAAATAATCTGGAGTCAGGGTCCATGTTCAATCACATAGCAATGAACTGAGCACTAACAATGGGAGATTGAGGAGGGGCATGAATGAGGGCACTCACTCTTTTTTGCTAAAAGTTCCTGAAGATTTTCTAACATCAAATAGGTTTTGATCACATTTTCTTTGGCCTTTGATGAGGTCCCCATCAGTTTAAAAGGCAGTATAGCCACGAGAAAAGCCATTTCTTTGGAGTCTACAGGGAGCTGGATTCAAATTCCAGGTTTACCACTTAACTAGTGAAATTGACCAAATCTAAGCCTTATTGCATAACAGGAGTAACAACCACTTCATTGGGAGGTCAGAAAAGTTAAATATTAAATTGCCCAGCCTGTGACCTATGAAACAGGAGGTCACAGTTCAATTCCTGGTCAGAGCATATGCTCGGGTTGCAGGCTCCATCTCCAGTAGCGGGTGTGTTTCTCTCTCCCTCTCCCTTCCTCTCTGAAATCAATAAAAATATTTTTAAAAATTAAGTTAAACCATATGAAATTGCTGTTTCTGGAAGTCAAAACAGAGGTGGAATCTAACAAAATAGTTAGCATTCCTTTGTGCCTCTAATTTTTAAAAAACTCCAGCTCTAAATTCTTTTCTCCTATGCTGCCTAAGGTATAGTCTAGCTCATTGATGGCGAACCTTTTGAGCTCAGCGTGTCAGCATTTTGAAAAACCCTAACTTAACTCTAGTGCCGTGTCACATATAGAAATTTTTTTTTAAATATATTTTATTGATTTTTTACAGAGAGGAAGGGAGAGGGATAGAGAGTTAGAAACATCGATGAGAGAGAAACATCGATCAGCTGCCTCCTGCACATCTCCCACTGGGGATGTGCCCGCAACCCAGGCACATGCCCTTGACCGGAATCGAACCTGGGACCCTTCAGTCCGCAGGCCGACACTCTATCCACTGAGCCAAACCGGTTTCGGCTAGAAATTTTTTGATATTTGCAACCATAGTAAAACAAAGACTTATATTTTTGATATTTATTTTATATATTTAAATGCCATTTAACAAAGAAAAATCAACCAAAAAAAATGAGTTCACGTGTCACCTCTGACACGCGTGTCATAGGTTCGCCATCACTGGTCTAGCTCAACTGTTTGTATCACCCTTAGGGCCCAGAAGTTGCATTTGACTCCCAACAGCCTTAGGAGACTCATTAATTCCTACAAGGATCTGGGACTTCTTTCCAACTAACTACAAGCACATCCCTTGGGGGCCAGAGAAGTCAAGAGCCATTGTGGCACAATAGTAAGAAGCTAGGAAAATTTCTGGGCAAGTAGAAGGGGAAACTGAGAAAATTAAACAAGGCCAAACAAGTTTGTGCAGCTTGCAGCCAGCTTGTAGCAAGACCTTACCTTCCCCAAAGGACACTTGAGAGCAAATGGTTAATACCTCTCCTCCCAAACCAAAGAATACAGGAAAGGCGGCGGGGGGGGGGGGGGGGGGGGTGCATATCTCACCCACTGAACAGAGAAGTCACAAGATAAAATAACCAGATGTTCTCATAAATTCTGGGAAAAGCTACAACAAAGTAAAAGGGGGACCTTAAAATTTAGTCTGTTGCCCAAAATATCCAGGCAGGAACCTATAGAAGGGCAAAAACCGCTTGAACCCCACGGGGCAGTGTGCTCAGTTTAGCCGAGTGACTGCTTGAGCTATATGCCAAGTTTATCCTATATAATAAAAGGCTAATATGCAAATTGTCTCCTCTGGAGTTCAACGGACCTGGAGTTGCCAGCTCACTATGAGGTGTGCTGATCACCAGGGGGTGATGCGGGAGGAAAGAAGGCCCCAGCCAGCAGCCAGGAGGAAGAAGGCTCCCATCCGCCCTGATCGATGGCCAGGCCTAGGGACCCTACCTGTGCACAATTTTCGTGCACCAGGCCTCTAGTCTTTAATAGAGTTGCTTGCCTTGCTTCCTTAATAAATGTGCTTGCTTTGCTTCAACAGTGATGTCTGTCACTCCTTTGAAATCTTTCTTACAGCCCAGAACAGGATATCCTTCTCTCTCCCACTCAGAGGGCTGACCCTTAACACCATGACAGCTCCATGCCTTACCTACCACACACAGACTCAGTGCACCCTTCTGTTTACAGCCTATTTTACCCTTGTTTGTCGCTGCTGTAGGGTTAGTGAGGTTGGTTCCATTTTCAAATGTAGAAACTGAGGCCTAAAGAGGGTCTGGCCTCGTCCAAGGTCTCAGACAACCCCTGGTGTTGGAAGTAACGTGATTTTGGCATTAAATCAGCCCAGGCACTGCCTCTAGTTATGACCTCCGCAAGGTCCTTGAATCTCTCTCCGAACTGTTTCCTTTTATGGAGAAAAGCGCTAATACCTTTCTCAAACAGTTCTTTTCCATTCAACCCAGGCTCTCTCCGCCGGTCCTTGAGGGGTCCGGCTGTGGCAATATGATCCGCGACACATGCGGAGACCACGTGCGCGCAGGGGCACACCCCAACTCTCCATAAACATCAACATTTGATTGTTACTAGAGACAGAACCAGCCACGACAATCCCAAATTCAGACCTACTACAAGTACCGAAACGCGAAGGAAAGGAGCGACCGAAATTACCCCGCCCCGGAAGAGCGGACCGGATGGCCACGCCCTCCGTGGGCGGGGCCGGAAGCCTGCGGCTACAATCCGCGCCTGCTCGCCGCCATCTTGTTCAAAGAGAGCACCTCCCTTCGTTCCTTAGCCTTTAGGCGGGACTTGGCGAGGCCATGGCGACTGAGGAGCGCGGCGGGGCACGGCCTGCGGGGCCGGCCTCCGGGCGAAGTGGCTGCGGAGTCCCCCGGCTGGGGGAGCAGACCCCGGCGGCTGTGGAGAAGCGAGGGCCGTACATGATGATGCGCGCGCCTTCCATTCAGGCCAAGCTGCGTGAGTGCGGCCCGAGGGGGTCTGCCTGGGCGGGCTGCCGCGGGCCCCGGAGCCCCGCTGGGGCGACCCCCGAGAGGCACCTGCAGCCCGCTCCCGTCCCCATACTCTGTTCGACAAGAGCAGGTTCCTGGCGTCTGGGAGAAACGGCCGAGCGGGGAAGACCCCGCTAACCCGGACCCTTTGACTTCCAGAGAAGCCCCGGGACCTGGCCAAGGCCGCCCTGCGGAGAAAAGGCATGCTGGGGGCCGCGCGCCGCCCCGACTCTTCAGGGAAAAGGTGTCCGCAGGCGCCGCCCCTCCTGCCAGCGGTTTTCTGACGAGGCTGGGCGACCCTGGACTCCCGTTTAAGGCCCAGCTAGGGATTCCGCTGACGCCAGCCTGTCAGGTTCACTATTTTAAAACAGGAAGGAAAAACGACCTTTTTCTCTTTTATTTCTTTAAGAATGTGATGGTGTCAGGGCAAGGGCTTTGGAATCAGTTTTGTCAGGGCATAGACTCACTCGCTGTCTTAAATTAGGGAGGAGCACGATGGCTAGGTCCCCGGGAGTGAAGACGGACAGCAGCTGGGAGGAGCCAGCGCCGCCCTGAGGGCTGCCAGTGTGGCGTTTCCTGGGTAGCAGTGGGGGCGTGGGTGGGCAGTGCCTGTTCTGAGGGCTGTGTAGCCAGATACATAGCCGGCGGCGGCGGCCGTGTGACAGGTAGAGGGCAAGTCAGGAGTAGAGCCGTTCTCTTTCCGTAAGGGAAGGATTCTGGCTCTCCCTGTAGATGCTGGTGCTTCATCTATGCTTGATCTCTTCTCCCATCTTCCCTCAGGTCAGTGAAGTTTAACAAGGGCTATACTGCTCTTAGTCAGAGTCCAGATGAAAACCTGGTGTCCCTCAACTCTGACAGGTGAGTGCTCTCCTTGGCAGTGCCCCTTGGGGAGTGACTTGGGTAAAACTGCAGATCGCTTGGTGCCTTCGCTAGTCCCCTATCTCTTCCAAAACCCTTCCTGCATGTTCCAGGGCTGTCTTCTTTGGAGCACTATTCCATCCCAAGATGGCTTGCTTAGAGGACTCAGAGGATTCATGCTGCTCTTGGATTTGGAGCACCAGCCTTGTCTGGAGAAACCATCCTTCCCTATTGTGTCTTGCACTGTTAGTGACAGTGACCTTGTCCCTGCCGGAGCCATTAAAGGAACCATTTGTACACTCAAAGCAAATTCTGGGCTTGAATCCTATGGTGTGTGGTCTTTACCTCACGAGTACTGCAGACCCTCTTGCATGCTCTTCACCTTGTCATTTGCAGCTGTGCTCCACAGGCATCCCCCTGAATTAACTGTCTTCCTCTTCTCCTAGTGATGGGGAGCTGGAATCCAGATACTCCTCCGGGTATTCCTCTGCAGAGGCAAGTGCAGAGTGCCTTCTTGCATGGGGCCAGGCGTCAGGCAGTGTTACCACCACTGCCAAGTGCTTGTCTAGTGCCTGCTGTATGCACAGCACTATGCCAGGCTTCCAGTTGGTTCTCCAATCTACTCTGTCCTCTTCCCACAGCAGAGGTAGAGGTGTCTGAGGAGGGCTGTTGAAAATTCAGGAGACCATAGACTCTTGGGGCTGGAAATGGCCTTACAAATCTAATCCAGGCCACCACTGAGAAAAGGAATCCTCCAGATAAATCCCAGCCAAGTGTTTACCAGCCTCTGCTTGGTTGCTTCTTGTAATCAGGTACTCACTACCTCCAAGAAACTTTGTTGCCTGTCCTCCCTCCAGCACAGTGGTTCTCAACCTTGGCTGCACATTAGAATCACCTGGGAATCTTTTTAAAATCCTGATTTCTGGGCCTCATCCTCCAGGATTCCCAGGTGATTCTAATGTGCAGCCAAGGTTGAGAACCACTGCTCTAGCACATATGCACAATTCCTTCTTCATGCAGCTTAGAGCTAAGTCTTCCTTATTAATTTGAAATGTCTCCTGCAGCTGGACTCAATGGTCCTAAGCCTGCCCTCCAGTGTCACACAGTAATTCTAGTCTCCTTTTTATGATAGTCTTTTATCTGACATCAGCCTTCCTGTCCCTCCCCTGGCCATCCTCCACCAAGCTTGCTTGCTTCCAGGCCATACAACTGTTCCATCTATGGGAACTCAGACTGAGATACTCGGGCTGGTCTTTTGGATGCGTTTCCAGAGTGATTGTCCCAGACAGAAACAAGGGATGTAAAGTTCTAGCATGTGCTTTCAACAGAAGTGAGTGCTGGGGACATGACTGTATACCACTGGTATTCTTATACTCTTGGAAACCGTTGACTACCCCCAAGTTTCTGCCAAAGAGAATAGAGGCAGTTTTTAAATTGCTGCCTCCTTGTATATCTGGGTGCCTAAGATTGTTAAAACTAAGAAAAATTAGCCAAGAGCCAGAGAAAGTCCTACACTGTTCCCAGTCTGACTTTCCTTCTGCTCAGAGCAACTGGTAAAACCAGACTGACAGGTTCCACTTTGCAGGAGACAAGCTCTGCAGGCATCAAAGAACAGTATGTCTAATGGTAGTGCTGACAAAGTGGCTCTCTACCCTGTTGTATAACTTATATTCCTTTACTATTTTACCCCACCATTCTGGTGTCATTGTCCCATATTTTTCAGCCTTCATAGGGACCAGTCTGGGTTCCCAGTGGGAATGGTCAGAGCATTGATTTTCAAACATATTCTAGAATCTGGTATTTACATCAGATTCCTCCATATTCTTTAGTGAGAGCAGCTCCCCTGGGGGTTTGTGACAGTGCAGTCTGGACAGTACTGGCTCAAGCTCCTGGGTGCCCCTCACTGCTGGCTGAAGCACAGGTAGAAAAAGCTGGCATTTCCACCTGCAGTCCAGGAATGTATGGGGTTGACCTGAGGGTGGAGAATGGACAGGAAGCTCTGTAAAGGGAATGTGAGTCTGCATTTTGGGCAGCAGTTGTTTCTGCTTTGCAGGCTGGCTTATAGTTTTCTCTCCTGCTCTTAGCAGGTGAACCAGGATGTGAGCCGCCAGCTGCTCCAGGATGGGTATCACCTAGATGAGATTCCAGATGATGAGGACTTGGACCTCATTCCCCCCAAGCCTATGGCTTCAACGTGCTCCTGCTGCTGGTGCTGTCTTGGGGACTCTTTCTCTTGTACCATCCAGTAGACATAAGCCCCTAAAATGGGCCCTGCTTGCCATGCCTGCAGATCCCTTTTGGCTCTTCATAGGTCAGACTGCATTCCCAGAATCACTTGAGGTACTGGCCTTCTGGGAAGTCAGTGACCTGTAGTTACCCCTTACCTGGTGCTTCTCAGGCAGGAGGCCCCCATCTGGGTGATAGGGTGATATATGGAATTCTGCAGTTTTCCTCTGCTGTTGGAGCAGAGTTTGAAACCATTTAATAAGGGGGGGAATAGAGGAATTCTGTTTCTTAGGGTGAGTGATAATGCTGGCTAAGAAAAACACTTGAAAACAGCTTGACTGGTATTTGTTGTCATGCTCTTTGGATGGAAAAAGAGCTTTTGTGCCCAGATTGTGCTGGACGGTGTTGTGTGGAGGCAGAAAATTTGTGGCTTGCAGCTGGGAATCTTTGAAAAAGAATTTATGTGGGACCAGTTCAAGAAATTCCTTAAGCTCTCCTTTCTAGCTCCAAGACGGGTTTGCCCTTCAAGAAAGGATAAAGCTTTGGCCCTCTTCTGGTTGTGCCTGTCTGACTGTTGCAGGGAGGATAGCAGCTTGCTTGATGACACAGCAGGTTCCAGAATCCCTGGACCCAGAGCATCCCCAAATGATCTGTATGAGTAGGTTTATTTGTCGTTCCTTGGTTGCCATTCTCCACCTTGGTCTTAGCTAGTTTCTCCATCCAGTCTTGGAGCTAAATGTTGGCCCAGAAGCCTGCAGATTTTGGTTACCAGGAGAGGGAGCTACAGGGAGCATTCAAATGTCTTTCTATTTAATAGCCTTGTAAACTTGAGAAGTAGCAATGGGTGAGAAGTATACTGGCTGAGCTGTGTGTGGGCTCTGACAGACAGAGACTCACAGACAGAATGGGGATTAGGGACCTGTGCCAGCTCCCAAGGCCTCTGCCTGAGGCAGAGGGCCTCCCTTCAACCCAATGTGGACCATTCCATTGTGTCCAGCTGTCGAGATTCTTCTGACCACAGCATGGGCCTCACAGTGGATACTCAGGATTGGACTTTTTACAATAAACCTTTGTGTGCAACACAGCCTCTCAGCCCCCATTGTGAACACAGCAGACACATAATCCCCTCCATGACCCCTACTAGACAGCATACCTTGCTAAACCACACGTCTCCCTAGAATTTAGTTTTAGTGTTTTTGTGTGTTTTGCCTTACCTGGAACCGTGGTGAGAACTGAATGGGAGTGGGCAGGGTTCCTAGCCCAAGGGGTATGATAGCCAGGATTGGATGTGGGCCCCACAGGGAAAGTGCCTGGTCTCTTGACTTATTTGATGCCCTACAACTACTAGGGGTATATGAGGGAAGGCATGGACTCTTTTTTTTGCTCTACTACTACATGAGGTGATTGAAAGACTGAGAATGTCAGATTAAAAGGCCATATTTGTCAGAGGACTAGCCTCATGAGGGTAATCCTATTAGCTTGATTGGCATCTATATTGGTGCTTTTCTCAAATCTCAGAAAGCTGAGAGAAATACAATATCCAGGGGGCCGTGGCTAACTTATTATATGATCTCACAGTGCACACAGCAAGACAGAGAGGGGACAGGGACCAGAGGCACTTCTGGGATAAGGGAGGCACATGGTCATTCTTTTCTGGAATGGGGCTCTGCAACTCTACATAGGTGCCCACTTTCTGAGCACTTTGAAAATGCTTGCAGGGAGTGAGGACATCTCCATTCTGACCCCCTTGCCCACCCACAGATATATCCAGGCCTTTCTGGCTTCTGCAGAGGTGGCAAAATGTACACAAAGGGTGTCAGATGTAGGACAGTGTAAAGGAAGACAGTGGTAACAGGAAACCCAGTGGGGGCCAGAAAGTGGCTGTGACAGCCAAATGTGGGACAATTTTCTGTGGGGGAGGTGGTTAGGACAGTGGAAACTGCTGGTGTGTGCTGAAGGTGGCTACAGGAACCCAAGACCAAGGCCCTCTGGATCATTGTTGCTGTTAACACTAGTATATTTGGCTGCAGCTGTTCCTGAAGAGGATGTTCCAGAGCTGGTTGACCCTGAGTGGGAGGCATTATCTTTGTGGGGAAAGTTGCAGGAACCTGAAATAGGGGACAGTGTGTAGTGAGGCAGGATAGGTATGGTCATTTGTTTGGGGCCAGAAGCTAACGTATCACCAAAAGGCACCAAGATGCCCAGAACCAAACTGCCTTATTGAGAGTGCTGGGTATTCTGTAGGTGACAGTACCCTGGGGACGGGTGTATTCAGGCTTTACTTGACTGATGGGAGTGGTGCTCTATGGTGTTTACAGAGTACTCTACAGAACTCTTGGCTTAGGTTTCCACAGCTCTGTAAGTTTATAATAAATAGTCATGCTAATTGAGCTTTCTGTTGCAATAGGATTTTTAAGAAAGGTCCAGGCCACAGTCATTGCTACTTCTAAATTCTGAAATAAAGAAATATCCAAATAGCCTGGCCAGTGTGGCTCAGTGGTTGAGTGTCAACCTGTGAACGAGGAGGTCACGATTTGATTCCCAGTCAGGGCACATGCCTGGGTTTCGGGCTTAATCCCCAGTGTGGGGCATGCAGGAGGCAGCTGATCAATAATTCTCTCATCATTGATGTTTCTGTCTCTCTCTCCCTCCCATCCTCTCTGAAATTAATAAAAATATAGAAAAGAAATAGCGTAATAGCCCCAACTGTGACCATTCCTCCTAGGAGCTCCTCTCTACTCTTCCCAGTAGGCTTTATTTTCAGACCCGCTTCACTGGAGACCATGGATGGAATTAGCCTTTGCACATCACTTCTCTTTAGAATAAGCTCCCTTTAACAGACACTTTCTTCCCAGGTTTTTTGTTTGTTTTTTAAGCCAAGGACATTTGGGGGCCAAGAAAACCCAGAACAGATTGACCAGAACTTTTTTTGAAAGTAGTTTCCTAGAATTCACTTGAACAGGGAGTCTGGTGTGGGCAGTAGCCCAGAAAGATCCTTTTGTGAGAGTCCCAACCCTTATCCCACAGGAAGGAACCAATAGCCTGGGTTTCTGCTTAGTCTGGAGTGATAAGCTCTAAGACTGTTGGTCAGAATCTTCAGTGGTAAAACAACTGTGCAGCCTCCTGCAGAAGTGTGTCCCCTGAGATGGTAGGCACAGGGAAAATTATATGCCCTCCAAGGTACTTCCTGCCAGTTTAGAAAAAGTACCTAGGTTGCTCTTCACAAGACAAATTTTATTATCTTGTCCCTGTCTCTGTAATGACTGACTGTGCTCCAGAGAAGTGGCTAACAAACTTTCTCTGTGAAGGGCCAGTCAGTACTTTGCAGGCTATACAGTCTGACATATCTACTCAACTTTGTAACCTGAGAGCAGGCAAAGAAGTATGTAAATGAGTAGGTGTGGCCAAACCTAGCCTGCTGGTTTTAGCAAGCTAATCTCAGCCCAAAGGCCAGATCACATCCTTAAACAGTGGTTCTCAACCTTCCTAATGCCGCGACCCTTTAAATACAGTTCCTCATGTTGTGACCCAACCATAAAATTATTTTTGTTGCTACTTCATAACTGTAATTTTGCTACTGTTATGAATCGTAATGTAAATATCTGATATGCTATGTATGTTTTCCGATGGTCGCGACCCACAGGTTGAGAACCACTGCTTAAGAATCTTGCTCTTTTATACCCACTTTCCACTGTCTGCAGGGCTGAAGGGCCCAAGGCCTGCCTGTAGGCTCTGCATCTGAGGCTGAAGCTGGCCACACCTTCCTATAAAAGTGCTCGAGAGTCCAGCCTACCCACTTCAGAGACTGAAATACCAAAGATTCAGTGCCTTAATACAAGTGATCTTTAATTGCTTTGACAAAGCAAGAGAGTGACGAGGAGCAATACTGGTCCACAGGCCTAACCTTTCACTCCTCTGCCACTGAAGAAATGGGCACTCCCAGGGCCAGAACCCTGTTCTTAGAAATTAGTTACTACCCTTTTGCTATAACTGATACTGAGCTAACCATAGATTTCACCAACCTGTCTAATACTGTAGGTGAAATAGCTGCTCTATCCTGCATTGAGTCTGTCTCAGGTGTGGTGAGAATACAAGTGGAGTATTGGCCCTTACTCCTCACACGAGCCCCTCCTCCCAGGAAGATGGTTCAGCCAAGGCTTGCTTAGGAGTCACTACCTTTTGAGTTCACTGCTCTATACCAGCTCTTCTAGGAAGTACTCAGAGTCCAGAGCAGGGAAGGAGTTTGGGCTGGACCTGAGGAGTTAAGACTGGCCAGGATTTAAGATGACTGGGCAGGAGAGCCAGGATGGCTATGCCCTCTACAACAGACAGCAAGCACGAAATATCAGCAGGTCCTCAGGCACAGTGAGCTTCAGTGAGACACTCTCATTGGCCCCAATGAAGAGCACTCCACCACGCTTCAGGGGGATTTCTGCCTGGGCTGTGGGAGTGCTGGCTGTCACTGTACCCTGCACCATTAAGAGGATGCTGGCAGAGTCCAATGCTGAGACTTTATACTCAGTGACTGAACCAGGGACCTGGGTGGGAAGAAACAAAAGAATGATGTAGTTCAGACTCTGCTCCTACAGTTCACAGGCACAGGACAACCCCAAGGACCGCCTTCTCTCCCACTGCTCAGGCTCTTGTCAGCATGGAGGCCTACATCTGGACCCTGGTACAGAGAGGAGTGGGCAGGCCCTGGGCCATCTCTCACCAAATGAACTTAACAAGAAAAGGAAACCCAGCCCCAAGTATAGCCCACAATGTGTATCTTGCCAGGTTTATCATGCCCCGCCCCCCACACACACACACAAAAAGGACACCCACCATGGCCCCCTACTCACCTCCATCTTCATAACAGCGAAGTCTGGTACAGGGGGTGCATAGAGAGAAAGGTAGGGGTCTTCCTGACTCCATTTTGGAGGAAAGAGCCTGTCCTTACTGGGGCTGGGGGTATAGCTGAGCATTTCACACAGAGTTGGCACATCGATGAACTTTGATGTCAGGCCAGCACGTACTGTGTTGTCTGAACACGCCATGCACTCCACACAGTCTGAGGACAGAGAATTGTCATGCTAAGCTGATGAAGGATGCCTTGGTGTTTGGCTCTCCAAGGCTGGTCCTTCAAACTTGAGCACTACAAATCCACAGCAGCTAGGTAAAAATGTGTGAATTGCATTCTCGGGGAGAATAAGTTAAAACATTGGACACCAAAAACAGGTGACAGTTCACCCACTGTTGTTAGGGGTAGTCATGTTCACCTTTGGGGAGCCCCAACCCTCCTCAGACTCTTAATTCTCCCAGAAATTCCTGTCCAAGAATGGATATAGGGCCAGCAATCAAAATGGAGCACCCTTCCGTGGCAACATGTATTTTAATGTAAAATCCTTAGGTTAATAGGACGAAAATGAAGGCAGTGTGATGCAGGGGAGAGAACAGCAGACTTGATCCAATATAGCCTAGGTTCAAATTGTGGTTGGTCCCCACACATTGACAGGGTTTAACATGAGTATCATGACCTCAAGGAGTTGGTGTGATGATTCAAGCAGTGTCTGACATCGTCTTAGTATTCATCTTCCCTGCTGACTCAGGAACTCTGGAACCCTGGGAGCTGGATGGGACCTTAAAGGTCCCCTCAACCACCCTCTCTGTCATTTGTCTGGATGGGGAAACAGGGCCCAAGGGAAATGGCAGTGGGGCTCACTGCTAAAATGTGGCTCACCTCCTTTCAGGTAGGCATGGGGCACATTGGCCTCAAGAAACATGGCTTCCCCTGGCTTCAGGGTAAGCAGGTTCAGGAAGTAGATGGCAAAGCATCCAATATCACCTGGATACTGCTGGTGCAGCTGCAGTAGGAGCTCCCCACAGATGTCTTCCACATTGTTTCCGGCAGCCACTGAGAATCACAGAGCACCCCAAGAGCATTTACGGACACTCAGTGGTATTCACAGCCCCACCTTAGAGAGTCAAGTGCCTGCCCACAAGAATCTAAACCAGCCACATGCTCAACCTCTTGGAGACCAGCCTTCCTTGATATTCCAGCTTGCACAGATGGCAATTTTTCTGTATGCCTAGCACTACACTAGGCATTAAAAGAGCTAGAGTGTGGCTCAATTGGTTGAACCTCATCCCATGCCTGTTCGATTCCCAGTCAGGGCACATGCACGGGTTGGGGGCTTGATCCCCAGGAGGGGGCTTGCAGGAGGCAACCAATGGATGTTTCTCATCACGTTTCCCTCCCTCCCTCTCTAAAAAGTCAATAAAAACATTGTGTGTGTGTGTTTTTTTTAAAGCTAGAGTGTTTGTTTCTCACCCTCAGCACTATTGACAATTTGGGCCAGGTGATTCTTTGTTATGGGGGCTGTTCTGTGCATTGTAGGATGTTTAGCAGCATCCCTAAGTTCTACCCACAAGATACCACTAGCACCTCAACCCAGGTTTTTTTTGTGTGTTTTTTTAATTATTTTTTTAATCAGAGAGGGAGAGAGAGATAGAAACATCAACCATGAGAGAATCATTGATCTGCTGCCTCCTGCATGCCCCCACTGGGGATCGAGCCCACAACCTGGGCATGTGCCCTAGACCGGAATCGAACCTGGGACCTTTCAGTCCGCAGGCCGATGCTCTATCCACTGAGCCAAACTGGTTAGGGCTCAACCCAGGTTTTGACAAGGAAAAATGTCTCCAGGTAATTGCCAATGTCCCCTAGTTGAGAACCACTGTTCTAGGAGCTCAAAATCTAATTAAGAGATAACACAAGAATTCAGCCTTTCCCTTTTTTAGCACTGAAAGTACTGCATCTCAGAAAATTACTCAGTCCCAGGTTGGTCACCACAGATAGCATGAGACAGAATGCACCAAGGCCCAAAATGTGAGTTCAGCTTGGGCTAGAGTGGTGAGGGAAGGTTTTTAGAAATGGGCAGGGAGTGGGGGATAGCAGCTGAGTTGTCTTAAATGTACTGGAGGGGAGGGTATTTGTAAGTAAAAGCAGGGTGTGTCAGTGTCACATGAAGAAACCAGCTGGTCTACATTGGAGGGTTCTGAGTTCATACAGCTGAATGCCTACTCTGGGCTAAGCACTTGGGACACAGAAAGGTCAAGGAGACAGGTCTATGGCCTGTGTGTGCACAGGATATAGACTCACAGGTGTCAAGGGCTATACCTGACATATGAACAGGGTGCTGTGGGATTTCCAGGTAGAAGGAATCACTTCTGCTGTGAGTGCAAAAATCCCTAAAGGGACAGGCATACAAGCAGAGAAAACACCAAAAAAACAAAACAATTGGTAGACTTAGGTAAAACAGTTACTTGTGGCTCAAAAGTAGCAGGGGAAATGTGTAGAGACAGAATCAGGAGAGTTCTGGGGTTACCTGGAGAAGGAGCTGGGGCCTCATGTGTGTCATATTAGCTCATAGGTGAGAGTCCATTCTGCCTTGTTTTTCACTATTGATTCTCTAACCCAAAGATGACCACACCC